GTCCTGTCCCATGTTCTTTGTCTAGCTCCAAGTCAAGTGAGTTTTTACTGTATTATCAGCCTCTTTGAGTTTTCATTAAAGGCCTCGTGCTTTTTTGATTTTTGAAACCTGCCTGTGCCCTGGGTTATTTTGTCAGTCCCGACATAATGGTCCGACAACGCACCCAGCCCACAGGCACCCCGTTTTCGGTTTTTTTTTAAAGAGGAGCAAGATTTTTTTTCTCGCCGCCCCTCGGCACGCCTGTCTTTCTCCTCTCGCTGTTGGAGTTCACCAGCGTCACCTGGGCCCACCTCGGCTGGTCTTCCTCCTTCTACCCTTGAGGAGCCGGTGGAACAGGTGACATCCCCCATCATTGGAGGGTCGGTGAAGATCCTCAGTGGGATCTCAATGCGCTCCAACAGACTCTCCATCTGCCGGCAGATAGAACGCGTTCTGGGGGAGCGCCCAGATCTGCTCCTCCTGTCAGGCCATCAGCTGCTCCACCAGTTTGTGCAGAGGGTCTTGGGAGAGTCATCTGGTACCCACCCTCCCACCCCTTCTGCTCCTCCTGCGCTGGTTGTTGGGGTTCCTGAGCTGGTGTTTGTGGTTCCAGTTCCAGTGGTTCCTGTTCCGGTGGTTCCTGAGTTGAAGGTCCCGGTGGTTCCACAGTCTGTGGTTCCACAATTGGAGGTCCCGGTGGTTCCACAGTTGGAGGTCTTGGATCCACAGTCRGTGGTTCCCCAGTTGGTGGTCCCGATGTCTCCGGTGTTGGCGAGCCCCGAGTAGGCGGTCTCTGAGGTTCGTGAGTCGGCTGCCGGCGCCTCCACGACATATGGGTCGGCTGCCATTGCTTCCACGTCGCCCATTGCCTCCATGTCGCCTGGCTCGTCGCCCATCGCCTCCATGTCGCCTGGGTCGGCTGCCGTCGCCTCTTTGTCCCCTCTGTCGCCTGTGTTCGCGTCGCCAAGGCTCTGGCTCCATCAACCTCTGATGGCTCCTCATCACCTCCCGTCTCCTCCCTTGGCTCCACGTCTGCTCCCGCCTCCTCCCTTGACTCCACGTCTGCTCCCACCTCCTCCCTTGGCTCCATGTCTGCTCCCGCCTCCTCCTGGGGCTCARCGTCTGCTCCTGCGGGGCCTCGCCATGGAGGGTTCCCTGGCCGTCCCCCTGAACTTTCATGCTTTGTCTTCGAGTTCTGTCTAATCATGTCTCTCCTTGTTGATCGTCTGGTGACGATCGTTAAGAGGGAGGTACTGTCATGGTTTGTCATTTTATGCCTTGGTTTTTCCTAGTGTTTCTATGTTCCCCTGTCTGTCTCTGCTCAGCTGCCCTACATCAAACTGCTGATTACCCTTGTGTTTCTCCCCAGGTGTTTTCTGTTCCCTCATTAGTTTTCTGTGTATTTAAGCTCAGTCTTGTCTCTGTCTCATTGTCAGATCATTGTTCTGTCTACCTGGTCGTGTCCTGTCCCATGTTCTTTGTCTAGCTCAAAGTCAAGTGAGATTTTACTGTATTATCAGCCTCTTTGAGTTTTCATTAAAGGCCTCGTGCTTTTTTGATTTTTGAAACCTGCCTGTGCCCTGGGTTATTTTGTCAGTCCTGACAGCTGGAACTGCAGACATGTATATGTTTGTTTGTACCTTTCCACAGTAACAAAAAAAAAAAAAAAACCTGATGTGGCTGGCCTAAAAACTTCATTGTTCTCTTCTCAGTCCCAGAACTTTTGGGACTTGTCATCATGCGTTTAGGTGAATTTTTGTCTGGCTTGTTTGTGTTTTTCTGCCAATAGTGGAGCCATTCTGGGTCTGCGATCAGAAAGTGATCTCGGAGTTCAGGTTGAATGGTTTTGGATTGTTTTTTTAGCTTATTTTTTTCTACCATCTTCACCGTTCGTCTGATTAACCCGGGGTTGCATTTCCTCTTGCATCCACTTCCTGGGAGGTTGGTTACAGTCCCATGAACCTTTTATACTTTTAAATAATACTAGCCTCTGTGGTCACAGGAACATGAACCTTCTAGGGATGTAGTTTTTTTTTTTTAAATCTCTGAGTCATCTCTGTTTTCTCTGCTTCACGTTCAGTTTGGTCAACACAACCACTCCAAACTGTGATTACCTGTTACCTTTATGTGAATGATAAAAGACCTGAAGGCACCTGTGCTAATYAAAGGCGACCATTTGGTTTAAATAAATCACTATAATGTAAAGATCAATTATCTCTTTAAAGGAACTAACATATTAGCATTATATCTTTCTTTTTAGATGTACTAAAAAGATGCGGAAAATGCATGAARTAATTCATTTAAACATAATCACTTCATGGAAAATGAAGTATTGTTTCAGTATTCAMAGATTTATCTACATCTAAAAAACATTAGTTTTGATCCAACATGGCCAACACAACCAGCTGAGCTTAAACAAACAAAATGGAAAGTGTCTAAATTGCGCAGTTTAAAACGTATTAAACCCGTGACCACATCCTGAGCCTCAACAAAGTGACTGTCTGTTAGCAAAAATATCTACTCAGAATGGATTCTGAGGCTTCACAACATGTTTTGAGCATGAAATCTTGTATTATCAGCAGCCTCATATCAGTTCTCCTCATCAAATAATTTTAGGTTTAAAACTGGCAGACCATTTAAAAAAAATGAGATAAAGTAGTATTTTGTAAGTAAATATTTTGTGGATGTTGAAAAAATGTATGTATTCAAAAGCTTTAGGTAAATGTTTCCATTTTATTTTGAAAAATAAATATTAGTCAGCTTGAAAATAAATAGTAATTAAACAATAAAGGTTGGATTGTTGAAAAAATATGAAACTTTATAATGTGTAAACATATAATTTGTTCTTGAATGATTTGATGTTTTGTTTTGTTAACTGAGGATTATTGTTTGAATTTATACTTGAGGAAAAAGGGGGCAGATACTGTATTATAAGATTTTGCCCTCTCTGCTTCCCTTCATTTCGTTGTTTGTATTTTTATTTTTATTGTGTATAAATTTTTTTATGAAATGAATAAAAATGAATGAATGCATAATTATAATATTTATATGTAAAGCTTAAATTCCAAACATAAGCATTCTGACTTTTCATATTCCTTGCTTTTGTTTTCTGGTTATTGATTAGTAAATAAATGTTTACAGCTCACTGGTCAGACTGTGGTGTTGATCCACATGATGCTCTTTAACGGTTTGGATCCTTGGGTCGTCTGGGTCCGATGCTACATCGGTGGCCACGGATGAGACGGAATAAGAGCTACAGGTTCTTTCATCTGCTACTGGTGCTGTGTTGATCAAAAACACGTCATCCTGCTGGTTTTCCTCACTGCTCTGTAAAATCGTGACCGTGCCCGAACATGCCGACTCAGCGGCTGTCGTGTCCCGTGGCAGTCCGTTGGCGGGGTGAGTCATAATGGCGTCCACTTCATCGTAGAACCTCATGATGCGTTTCCGCTCAGTTAAGTCGGCCTTCCCCCTCTGGAGGGAGCGGTAAAGGTACTTGAGGTTTTTGTACTTGGTGTGGCACTGCTTCCAGTCACGTTCAATGCCTTGTTGCATCAACTTGTTGGCAATCTGGACAAAGATGTCCCGCTTTCTGGTGGAGCTCTCCAGCTGCTTGCAGATGAGCTCGTCGGACCAGACCTCAATCAGAGCTTGAACTTCTTGGTCGCTCCAGTTTCGACCCGTGTCTGAAACTGTGACCACATGGAACTGTCCGGGCCCTGGTGGATCTGCATGTGTCAAGTGGACCTCTGAAGGAAAGAAGAATACCCGTAGATTAAATACACAAGTTTGCTTCGACTGTATTCTGGCATGTGAATGTTGTCCTACCTGTGCCTCTCCATTGGCTTTCTATTTCTCCTTCAGCATCGTATTCATCACTGTTGTCATCTAGAAATTTAATTAAAAATGTTGGACTCTGAAATTGCTGCCATACATGCGTTGTATTCTATAAACCTACCATCTTCAATTTCTATAACGATCTCCGTGTCTGCAGCCGTCATCTGTCTTTTCGAGCCTGGTGGTGTTTGGAGCCTCTCTTCCACGTCACCGTTGTACAGCCTCTTCTGCATTTCCACCGTCCCGTTTTCCATCACCTTGTTGAGCAGGATGGCTTCGACCTCCTCAAAGAACTTCATGTACTTCCCCGGACTCCCGGCGCCGCCGCCTCTGGCTGCGTGAGCGCTTTTAGCCGTCTTGTAGTCGTATTTCAGGTTCTTGTATTTGGTCCGACACTGTTTCCAGTTGCGTACCACGCCGAATTTCCTGTGCATCTGACGGGCCATCTCTTGGAAGATGCACTTGTTGCGTAACGTGCTTTTTAGACGTTCCCGGATATTCTGGTCAGCCCAGATGCAAAGCAGCGCCCGCACCTCGTCATCTGTCCAGTGGCGTCCGCCTTCTTCTGCCACGTTTGGAGAGTACGGAAGTGTTGGATGAGTTCCACTCTTGGTTCCTGCAGAGACACATACACTTTTATCCCAACTTTAGTTTAGAAAATACACGTTGCTGCTGAATCAGCATTCTTTAAGCTAGTTGACATGCTTATGTTTTGTCAGCAGTGGTGGGCACCAGTCYRCTTAAGTGCAAAAATCCGCTATTTGCGGACCTAAATATTTCATTTGCGCTTTAGCAGACTTACTAATTATTATAGTTCATAAGTGGATTTGTGCTTTCTAAAATGAAAATGCAGTACCGCTAATAACTCATCTACCAGTCATTATTATCTTGAACAGGGAAGGTATGGCTGTCAATGAATCACAACACACAACAGCTTCCCTCCCAGATAAACTCACTTATTGGGAAGGTATACATCCTTCCTGACTGTTGCTTTGAGCCACGGTTCTGATTTCCCACAATGCTTTGTGTCTGCTTACGTAGCAGGAAGGCAACAGCAAAAACAGTAAATGTTTGTAATCCATACTAAAATTGTATATGTATTGATTTATTTTACTTTACAATTGGAGCTCCTTTTTAAAAAAAATAAAGTTTAAACGCTGGAGCTCAAAAGCAATTGGATAATGGTGTTAGAGACTTAGAAATGATTTAAAGATGTTATGCTGGTGAAGACTGACATCTAGTGGTCAACTGGAGCAACTACATGGAAAACGTCCTAATCCAGGTAGAAAAAAAATCAAAAAGAAAAAATAAGTAGGTCCTTTGAACGGGTTCTTCTTTAGTGAAACGTTTTGTCTCTCCTCCAAGAGTCTTCTTCAGTCTGATGAGTTTCAGGTGAACTGGGAAACTTTAAAATCCAATGGAAACATGAAAAACTTTAAAATCCAAGCTCTTATTTTGAAGGGAAGATACTAGTTTCCTGTTCCCCGTGCTTTTGTTTCCCGTCAGTCCGTCATGTCGCTTCAGTTTTCCAATAAACAGTTTTAAAATTACTTTTGATGCTTTAATGAAAAATCTACAAAAACAAAAGAAAAAGACAAAGCAGCCAAACTAGCAATCCTCAACAACTTTTTAAAGAAGCAGCCAAACTAGCAATCCTCAACAACTTTTTAAAGAAGCAGCCGAACTAGCAATCCTCAACAACATTTTAATTTTTACACCAGGAGCCAAAGTTCTGTTTCAGGAAATCAGATCCCCAGCAATCAGCGGTTGTAGGATTAAGCTGTACAAGGGTTCATACACCACTAGTTAGCAGTGTTGTGCATATTGTACATGAATTGTCAGCTAGTAAGTGTCAAATTGAACTTGTGCTTTAAAATTAGCTTCCGCTAATTTTTCTATGACATAAGCGTTTTTGAATTTGCAGACCTAAATATTTTCATAAGCGCTTTAGAAATTGCGGAGCTAATTTTTGGATTAGCGCTGCCCACCACTGTTTGTCAGTGTAGTTGCKTGTTTTTAATGTGCCACAGTGTGTCAGACCCACAGTTACCTTCATGTGTTGAGACTGAGGTGGGGTAGAGACTTCTTTGATTGGCCACATCTTTGTCCCAGCCCTCGACCAGCCTTCCATCCAGTCCTGGCCCATAGTTAGCTGATGTGCCTGCTGCTGCGTCAGGCATCCTGTCCTGAAGTCCCAGCCTCCTGCTCTGGGCCTGACACTCCCTCCAGCTGCGTGCCACACTGAGCCGCCTCAGCCGCTCTGAGACCAGCTCGAATGTTGCTCTGCTGTCTGCTCCGTGCTCAGCTCCTATCTCATCCCACACTGATAGAAGAGCCAGCACCTCTGTGTCCCCCCACTGCCTGTCCACTGAGCCCGGCTCCTCCACCACCTCTCTCCTTTGTCTCTCTGCTGCTCTCTCCATGTTTCAGCTGACCTGGAAGCGTTTTTCTTTTCCCCCAGCCCCCCAGTCTCTGCTGCCCGGTTCCCAGGGCAACCAGGCGGCTAAGCCTGAAAGCAACGCCTCCGTGTTGAAAAGCAGCCTCACCACTGGCTTAAGCTGTGTGCAGAKGGGGAGGGATCAGATGTAATCTGAGAAGCAGCTTGGTAAATGGACTGAAACTGCAGCGAGGCGACTCTCCCTGTATGAAACGCTTTTTCTCTTCTTCCTCATTCCTCGTTTTTTTTTAACGAGTCCGACTCGTTTAATCTCCTCCAAGACACAAGGATCCACTGAAGCACCAAACACTGACTCRTGTTCTGTCTTGAATCTGATCTTTTGTCCTGGTTTTAACTCCTCATTGATAATTTGATAATTTCTGTGTTTTCTCAGGGGTCAGGAAAGTGCTGGCTTTGTGACGAGTAATGGATCCAGCCCTGTCACATACACAAGCCACAAGGTAYCAGCAGTTTCTGAACAGAACCACTAAAACAGCTCAGTTACAGGACAGAGGTTTTTATTCATGCTGTCAAATGATTAATGTTTTTTAATCTGATTAATCCCAAAGTAGCTGTGAATTAATCACGATTAATCTTGAAGTGCCTGCGAYATGCCTATCCATCGAATACAAAAAGTCAAAGAAAACACGTTTTTATATGAGAAACCTCGCATAAAACGTGATTTTTACCCRTTTGGTCACATAAATGGAAGATTTTCTTTTGAACTTGGATCAGCCAGAGTGAAACAGGAAGTGACATCAAAGGGGAACTATTTAAGAAAGAGAACTCTAGTCTTTGTTTATTGAAATTAAATTATTTGAACTCTGACTCGTCTTCATCTCTCAGATTCTTCTCTACAGTCTGTGTCCTTGGCCATTTTATCAATGCTTTAACCCAGGGGTGGGCAGTCCTGGTCCTGGAGGGCCGCAGCCCTGCAGGTTTTATGTTTTTCCTGCTCCAACACACCTGATTCAGACACTGAATTACCTCGTCCAAGTTCTGCAGTACGGAGGACCGACACTGACATAACTAAAAAAAAGCAGAAATAAATAAATGGACCAATAAATAAATACAATTAAAAATGCACCAATTAAATTAAAAAAG